TGTCATATGTAACAAATTAGAATAAAAAGAATTTTTTAAAATTGATAAAGAAATACACATGTATATGTTTTAAGTTAAAATTAAGAATTGTGGGGCTGGGGATGTGGCTCAAGTGGCAGTGCGCTCGCCTGGCATGCGTGCGGTACAGGTTCAATCTTCAGCACCACATACAAACAAAGATGTTGTGTCTGCCGAAAACTAAAAAATAAATATTAAAAAAAATTCATTCTCATTCTCTCTCTCTCTCTCTCTCTCTCTCTCTCTCTCTCTCTTTTAAAAAAAATAATTGTGGTCTGAGTATTTTTACTTTAGGGATTCTTTACTTAACTAGTCTTCTGATTAAGTGGGCTCACACCCTTCAGGTTTAAAGCAAAACTACTAGATTAAGTCCTCAGATATTGGTGTGAGTAATCTTTGCAACTTTTTTCTTTCCTAATGTAAGCTTCTAATCCAATACAGAAGGAATGCTTGAAAAAGCATTCAAAGGGGATTGCAAGCAGAGACCAAACATGTACTCTGTATCATAACATTTCTTCTTGAGAGTATTTCTGACTTCTGAGTATAGATCTCATTTGTAGACATACTTGACAATACACCTAATAATAATCAGGGAGAACACTCAGGTCATGAAGAGAATATATCCAAAGGGCAGGAACAAACCATACATGTCTCCTCTGATGCCAGCAGGTCTCAGGAGAAGCCGTTCTGGGGCAAGCCACTTGAGAGGGATGGTCCGAGCAGAAGAGATGGCTCCAAGGGCATGAACTTCATAAGCCAAGCCCAATCCACAGAGTTTAGCAGTCAGATCACTTTGGATCAGGATATTCCTGGCTGCCACATCCCCATGGAACAGATGCTTATCCTGCAGAAATTCCTGACAGCATAGGTCAAAGATAATCAGCTATCTTAAGGTCACTGCTCAGCTTGCAGATGAGACATACTAGGAAGCCTCAAAAAGATAAGGGCACTTCCTACTCTAAACAAGTCTCATTATAATGACATCACTTCCAGATATTTTACCTCATTTTTAAGATGACCAAACTGAGCAAATAATCCAAATGACATTAATGCTGGATTTATTTACTTATTTAGTTTTGTAGTGCTGAGAATCAAACCCAGAGCCTCGTGCATGCAAGGCAAGTGCTTCTACACCCTCATCCCTAATACAGGATTTTGAAAGTATTAATTCCAAATTCCATCTGCAATAAAATGACTCCCTTTCTGTTAAAATATTTCAATGTCTTATATGTTTCCTTTATTCAGCAATTGCTCCTTTGTGCTGATGTTTGCATTACATGTTTGCTTTCTTTTTTGGAGTACAGGTGCAAATACCTCTACCTTTTTTTTTTATTGATACCTCTACCTTTTTATTACTACTGTCCAACTGTTTCTGGCACATAAGAAATGCTTGTTAAAACCCATGTCATATCAAATTCAAAACTTACCTTATATACTTTATCTACTTTGACCTTCCAAACAGTTTTGTGAGCTTAGCCAACCTGATTGCTATTTATCTATTTGGTTGATGTTCAAACAGGCTTAGAGATAGTGACTTGTCCAAGGTTAGGTAGTGATAGTGTTGGGATTGAGTACCACATCATCTGACTACCACTTTCTAGTAAGTTCCACTGAAGATTAGTTGTCATCTACTAGATATGAACCCAGTTATATATTAGAAAGGGAGTAGAATTCATAGCAAAATTAAGTATCATACTATTGAATTTATGTAAAGTTTTATTGTCTCCCTAAAATAACTGGATTAACTGATTTAGGGAAGTATCTTTTGGCTAAATTTAAATGATTACACAAAACTACAGAGTAACTAAGTGATAGTAACTAGAGTAAGGTATTCTAATTCACAGAAAATACAACAAAAACTCTACTAATAATTCTATTTTTATTTAATGACCCATTTTAGTTTTTATTCTACTAATAGTTCTTGAGTCAAGTTCCAAATTAGAATTGCCAGAAAGCTTTTTTAAAACATAATATTTGCACCCTGAATTCACTAAACCATAATTTAGGACAAGAAATCTGATAACCTATATTGTAAATAGTATCAAAATTATTCTAGTGCAGACTTTAAAGCATTTGAGACCCACTGTGACTGATGGCCTAGATTTGCTGGGATCTTTTCTCCTCTGGTACAAATCTACTCAAAGTTGATGGAGAAATCAAGAAGTTGTACATGGCTAAAAAGATAGAAGTTCCAAATTATGATTGCTAATCAAGGATAGTATAAAAATTTTAAAGAGTGAGCTGTAATTTCCAATTGTTGAGAAGAAGCAAACAGTGATGACTATTTC